TTCCCATTTCAGAGTTTAAATTGAAGGATATTTACACCACAATTATAGTTGTCCTCTCAGGTGTTTGAAGGATTGGTTCTAGCTTAATGTTCCCCTGTATTTCATGGGAATGAAACAGTAGTTTGATAGTCAACATAGGGAGAGAAAAACTTAAGAGTTTTGACTGCAAGAATTTTAAGAGTAAGAAGAATGTGTGTGGGCTAAAAGGGGCTTCTCAATTTTCAGAGCACCCCGAATTGCAATTCAGGCTTTCAGTTCTCATATGTAATGTTGTCTGCACTGTCTGTGTGACAGACACTTGGTTTATATGCCTGCACACTACTGAAATATGATGGTGTGACTGAGCAACAGAAAGTTTTAGTTTTGTCTAATTTTAGCTATTTTAATGTAAGTAACCACATGAGTGCATTGGTTATTATATTGGTCAGCCTAGCTAGACTGTAGTAAATGCAATTGATGTTTAATGCTGACGAGTGTTAACTAGTCAATGTTAGCTACTTAGCTTTTAGGAGACAATTGAAGTAAAGGATCGCCATCAGAAAAAATACTCTTCACAGCCTCAAGTGCTCTGTTTTGAAAAATTGTGGAGTGTTTCGTTTTGATTGTGACCTTAGATTTAGCTGATGATATGGACTTTGAAGCCCCATCAGAGGAGACAGGAAGATTTGATAGGATTCAGGAACAAAAACAAGGCATTTAAAAACTTAAGACCTTTGAGGTTTTTCCCTTGTCTCTGATATATTCACGGAAGATTTTAGAATGAAAATAATAGGTTAATTATTACTAAGACCCTGTTTTCTATATAGTAGAGTGTCAGTCTTTGGAAAATTGGTTTGCCTGGGGATGTAGCTTTAGTGATTTGAGAACAGATTGTTTCGAGGACTTGTAGCTTAATTCTTTTCACAACTACACAACTAGTTTCATTTGGCTAAAAGAGCTAATTTCTTGTATTTGCTGGTACCTCAGATTTCTGTATCAACTTACCAATTCCCAGTCCTGTTCAGCACTCTACAGGAGTGTCAGAATTGTCAATTCAGGGAGAGCCCATGCATTAACCTGGTAATGGAGACTGGGATCTTTACAAAGCTCTTCCCATGAGAGACCTAATAAGTTCTGGAATTAAAGCATGCTATGGAAATGTGAAATGCATTGATCATTTGAAGAGACCCAGAAGAATTTTCTTCATTTTTCTTCCTGTGGCCCAGTGGTTCATGTTTATAAGCTCAATGCTTCAAAGTAATTCTGATGGGAAATTTTGGTTCATTATATTTAAAGCTACTAATTCTTTGATTTATAAAATGTTCTTGTACTTAACAATGTAGTTTCTCACCTCTAGTGTAATTCTGTCTTCCAAAGCTCAAATTTGGTGGTTCTGTGTCCACACATTAGCCTAGCTTCACAGCCTAACTGACTGGTGGGTAATAGTGGAACTACACTCAGTTTGACTGCTGTAGGATTAGTTCCTTTCATTAACTAATGAAAATGACAACCACTGGGCATGGTGGTACATGTCTGTAATCCTAGCTCTGAGGAGACTGAGGCAAACTGATCACTATAGGTTCGAGGCCAACCTAGGCTAAATAGCAAGAACCAGGCCAGGCAGGGCCAGCAAGACCATGCATTCGTCTGGGAAAGAATACATGTCAGGTCTGTTCTGGAGCTGCAGGGTGGGGTGAGGTAGAGACAGGTGACTTTCTAATTACAGTTCTTCCTTTTCACGTGTAAAGTGAGCCTTCACTGCTGGGTGTACCCTGTGTGTCGTGAAAGCAAGAAAGAAAAGTCGGGGTTCTTTTTCAGTCTCACATTGCTTTAAAAATTTGTGATTCCATCTCTAAAAAACAAAATGGCTCATTTCTACATTCTGCTTTGATCCTGCTAGTCACAGTGTTGAAATTGATGTAAAGCAGAAGCAGTAGTCATGACTTCTGTGTGTTTTTTCAAAAGAAAGATTTACCTATATACCAAGAGAAATTATTTCTGACTACCTCCGAGAAGTAAGAAGGGAAGTTTTATTTTTAACCTTTATTCTGACAACATTTATAAAACATTATTTTCTGTATCTGTGTGGGCATATATATTTTTGTATGTATGATAACAATGACTATTCAAAAACAAAACACTGTGCCTACTTGTTTTCATCCAACTTTTTTCTAATGAAAAAGTGATATTTGAAGCTGTCTGTTTTCTTCATTGCAGGCTGCTCTGACTTCATTTGCTTTCTCGTTCATCTATTGCTGTTCTTACTGAATGCTATTAAAGACTCCAAATGCTCCGTAGAGCATAACGGTCTCAGCTAAAGTGAAACAGATCTGGTGGTTTGGCTGCTAGTAAGCAGCTCAGGTTGCTGTCAGTATACAAAGGACTCTAAATTCATTATGCTACTTTTTTTCTGTGAGGCGGGGTGTGAAAAATGGCTTCAGCTTTGACTCATTGTGGTCCTTGGGCACCAGATAGTGGATGCTGGAATGTATTGCAGAAAAGCTGATTAAAGTGCTAGGATCTGTAACAGGAACAGCAGAGCCATCTGTAATGGTACATACATATTTCTTTTGAAAACATCGCCTTATTATCAGCCTATACAGAAAGTAACAACATTATTGCAAAAATGTGCATTTTGGTGACAATAGCAAGCTGTTCGTGATTAGGACTTTGTGTAGATGGACCAATTGGAACTTTGAGGAGCCTTAGTCTTTTGCAGTTTTGTTACTGAGTTTATTGGAATTATATTTCACTATGACTTGAATTTCAATAGTTACTTGCAGTTCACAGTGTAAATATACATAATCCAAAATGTCAGCTGTCAGCACCTAGTACCCCATCCCCATGTCCTGTTTGCCTTTCTTCCCAACAAAAGTTTACTGGAGTGAAGTATGGAAATATTTTGTGTAGTCAGTAAACTTGAAAATACTTAAATGCAATGTATTTTGCATTCTTCCTCTTAAAAGATTTCAACATTTCTCAGCAAGTTCAATTAGTCTCCCTCATAATCTGCAGATGTCCTTGGCTTGTCTAGGAAGAGTTAGCATTTCCCTTCTTCTCTCAGGCCTTTCCTTTGCTCCCACATCCCTCACCTGAAAGCCACTTGTTTCTTCTTTAAAACGCTGCTTCAATTTCTTTCCCCCCCAAAGACTTCCTTAACCCACAGTTAGCCTGTTAGTATAGTAATCCTATTTAGACTAGCCAGTAAGCCTGTAATAGCATTTCATAGATTTCCCCACAATCTACTGCAACCATTTGCTTACTTTTCTCTCTCTCCTTTAATAGGGTAATATTCCTTGAAGTCAGAAATGGCAATGTTACCTTTTGAATGCATTTTATAGATTTATTCCATAATTTAAATTATTTAGATTGTAACAATTAAAGCTTTTTAGTTATAAATTTGACTTTATAATATCATATCCCTAGTATGTTCAACTTCCCTATTGATGTTTTAAAAAATGTTTAATAAAGGGAAGTCTTTAGCTTTGAGCCTTTTTGGCCAGAAGATACAATTTTACCTTTGTGTGATTAATTATTAAACCATCTGAACTACAATTTGTAGGAAATTGGAAAGACTAATTCTGTGATTTTGAAATTGTTCAATCTGCCATATGGAATTGGGAGATGCATAGAACTGACTTCATTGGAATAAGATTCCCTCAATAACTTCTCAATTTGAAAATATGGTTATAGTGTCTAGATTTTAGCCTAGTTCCAATCCAAGAGACAAGACAAAGGCAAAGCTATACAATACTTGTTAATAGTAGATTACAGGATTTAAACAGCTGCTCAGTACTCTTTGGTATCTTTATAGTATTTGCACTGATAACTTAGTTTTATAGCAAAATGCAAAGAAAATGTAAAGAAAGGTATAACCTCTAATAAATATTTTAGAATAATTTAAGATTATTTAACTTTTATTTCATCTAAAGTATTCTTTTGCTAATGTATACATGATATTTTTCACAGATAATATATTAAGACAATTTGTATAATTATTTCTTTAATGTTATTACCAACTGCCTTACTGCTAAATCATAATCCTGGATGTTCTTTTTATTTAATGAAGGAACAAACACAGTGCTGTTATTATTAAGGTTCATTGTCCTTCAGTTGAGCTCTCAAAAAAACCTTGTTAGATCTTTCATACTCTAAAATCTGCCTTGAAAGATTTGTAATTTCTACTTTCTCTCTGATATATTTTAAAAAGTCAGTTGTAAAAAATAGAGTAAAATTACCCATATCATGCTCATTTCCTGAGATGCCTACTAATTAAGATTCACTGTTGGTAAAATTTGGTATACTGAGTATATGGTTGACGCAGGTTAGATTACTGTTGCCGGTGAAGAATGTGCTCTCTGTTTTGGTTTTGGAGCACTGCCTCCAAGAGGCTCATAGCGTTTGGTACGTAGTTCACGTATTTCTAGTCTACAGACCTTTCCTATCGAGGCGAAAATGGATTCGTGGTTCTCATATTTACATTTCTTTCTTTTTTTTTTTTTCCTGCTATAAAGCTCAGTGATGGTAGTTAATTTAAAAAAAAGAAAAGAAAAAAAAAACTTTCCATGCCATTACAAATAAAACTGAGGTTTCTTTTGAAGGCTAGTAATTTGTACCTTTAAAGAGCCACATTATTTTGCTTTTGTCTCAGAATGTATTATGCTTCACAAGTATACTGTGACAGCCGGAATACAAACGGGGGGAAGGGACATTGTCTTGAGCTGGCATGCTGTTATCAGAGGGAATGTGTTCCTGGACGCGAGATTTAGCATTCATTGGTTGTCTGAAGAAAGCTATTTCATCTGAGGATTGGACAAGAAGCTGCGTCAATTTGCTGCCCGTCTCCAAGGCACTGGTGATGCTGCCTTCCCAAGCTGGCTAACGTCACGGCTCCATCACCCAGCGGGGTGTGGACTCTCTTTTTCTGTTCTTCTCTATTTAATTCTCTATTTGCTGCCTACTGCATTTCTTAATCTGTCTTCTGCCAAATGCTAACAGCATGATATTTTGCAATCATCTAGGTGAATACAAAAAAGACGAACTCCTAGAAGCTGCTAGGTAAGTGATTCCATTCATTTTAAGTGAGTCTAATGCATTTAAGGGAGAAAAGGGGGAGGGCAGGTGGAGGAGTATACGGATTTATAACCTGTTCTTGTCTTGCTTGGGTTTTAAGAGACGGTGTGGATAAGATCTCCTAAGTCTTTGTGTACTTTATTTTTCATTGTTAATGGACATAATGACAGAATCCTTCACTGTGCTGAGTATTGTAAGGCTAATTTGATTTGTAACCTATCTTGAGGTACTATCTGCAAACGTTTCAAAAGATATTCTCCGAGTGTTTATATGCCTATGTCTTTCTTTAGCTTTGAAGATTTTTTTCCTAACCAAGCTTGAAGGAGAGACTTAAAGTAAATGTTAAAATCCTCAGCTATTTTGTTGATGGTGCTATAATTCAATTGATTGCCTCTTTATAGAATTTGTATTTTAAACTCCAGAGTTTTAGATCTTTTTGTCACAATAAAGTTTGTTTGTAATTAAAATGATTCTATAGATAAATTTTTAAATGTAGACAGCTACATAACCCAAGATACCATACCACATAATTAACAGGAATTATGTTGACTGAAATAAATATTGTAAGACATGCATTGTGATCCATATTTTAAAAATAAAGCAAAATCCTTGTTGTTTCTCACTCTTAATGAAAACACCCATAAATATTCATAAGAAGCTCTATGATTTTACATAAATTGACTTACTACCTTTTTATAGGAGTGGTAATGAAGAAAAACTAATGGCTTTACTGACACCTCTAAATGTGAATTGCCATGCAAGTGATGGGCGAAAGGTAAGTTATTTCAGGTAATCCCAGTGATGTCTTGCTTTGCAATGAAATTTTGTTCAGTGTGGTCTGTGTCCGTGTTTATACGTACACATTTGTAAGCTGTTGTTACTGGCATCTTTGCACTGTAAAATGAAATGCTGCTCTCTTACGGGGCTTGTGACAGACTCATGGAGCTGGCTGGGGAAGCATGGATCTTCAGTAAGCTCTCCTCTGAAATGTCAGACACTGGAAGTTGTTACATGAACTGCACACTGTTTTCAGTGAATAAAATTAGCGACATATTTTCTGTGTGTCATGATGGAAATGATATTTATTTTTGTTAGGACATATGCATTTTTTTATTTATTTGATAGGTTTGTCTGCTAGATATCAGCCCTTGTCCCATTAAAGGTGAGAAACTGTTAATGATTTTTTAGATTCACTGCAGTTTTTTTTTCTTAATTGTGGCATATTGTAAGAAAATAGGCTCAAAGAGAAATAACCCTGCATAAAGATACACTTGTCACAACTGTAAGGTAATGTATGAAATGCACAGCCAGCAGCCTCCTGTCTGCTCTGTACTCATGCTGAATATAGAATGAAATGTGATGTGTTTCAGACTGTGGTAATTGACTGCGAAGTTTGCCGTGATTTACCTGGTAGACAGGAAGAACCCCAGAACATTCACTGAGCACTTTTCCTCACTCTGGGGAGGTGATTTTTAAGGAGTAGCTGCTCTTTTTTCTTCCTACGGCTTTGGAGTTGCTGTAGGGATTTTAACTCCTATGAGTACTTCGAGCTCCATGTTTTATTTGAATCATCTCAGTGGGTAGAGTTACTTCTCTCGCTGTGCATAAGTGCAACTGTGGCTTGTAGACGGAACTAGAGCCCAGCTTCCTTGAGTTCTCCATAACCATTTTAGTACTAGTAAGTTGATGGACGATTAACTTTAGCAGGAGATGAAAAAGCCACCCTAGCTTCGTCCCCAGTCCTCAGCCCTTCCCTCCTGCAGATACACTCTCACTTCCTTGTGGCTGGTTCTGCATTAGCCATTTGGTTTGCCGCAGGCTTCCTTACATTATGCTTAGCTTACGTGTTTGTCTTCTACTGTTCTGTGGGTTTTGGTTTTCGTATTTTGCACAGGATCAAGCCTGGCATCTAGCAGCAGCTTTAGAGTATTAGTCTGCTTCCCTGACAAACATGATTTTATCCCCTGAATGAGAAAGTCATCTCTTCTCTTCCTTTTAGAAAATTAAGTCCTATGTCTCACTATGTGAGTGAGAGACTGTGTATTTTCTGTTACTCTTACTTTGTATTCTGTTGATTTCCAGATAGTTATAACATGAGGGGAACTGTATTATTTTCATGTGTAAGTCATCTTTAGGAACATACCTGAGCTATCATAATGAAGGATTTCTATTTAAATAATACAGTAATATTCTTAAAAAATGCACACATAGTTACAGGTTATCAGCTTTTTTCAATTTAAATCAGGTAACAAGAAAATTAAATAGGCATTTATTAAGGCTTATTGTAATGCATATATCATAAGGAATCATTCAAAGTTGTCATCTGTATGCAGATCACAAGTTAAATTGCATACATTAAGGTTGATAATGTTTGTTTATATTTTTATGCTTATTTCTGGCAGAGGGATTCCAGCATGCACCAGTTGTGTACAGCCACAAGCAATGTTCTCAGTGCTAGTGGAGACTGGTGTCATACCTGCTTATGACAGTGTTGTTTGCTTTCTTACAGTAGGTATCAAGAAAACATGTGAGCAGTCCAAGCTGATAAAGTACAAGTTTACTTCTCAGATATTTGGCATATTTTTAAGACATTCACATGTTTACTAGAATGAAGGAACATGGCTTATATTATAAAAAAGCGAAAGGTTCCTTTTACTATGTGGTAGGTTAGTGAACTATTTAACATTTTCCTCCTTGGATTTTATATTAGAGCAGGTCATACAAAAGACTGCCAATGCTGAACTGGCTTCTGTCTTAGTTTTACTACACTTCTTGGTTTGTACATTTCAAATGCCCATGGAAATGTAAATTCACAACTAGTTTTAGAAAGAAATGTTCCTTATACAGTCACTGTGGGTGGAGAATTGCATAGAGATGTGTAGAGGGTGAGATTTAGTACTCTTCTTAATGATGTGTATAGGGTTGGGCACTAGCATAGTTTTCTTTGTCTTGTATTTCATTACTGTGACTTGATGACAATCTAGTTAGGTAACGTGAGTTGTTAACATTTTGATTTCCCACAGATATCTGTTTGTCTAGCCTCTAGAGTCCTGAAAATCATGACATACCAGTAAGGCTCTGCCTTTATACTTTGCTTTCATTTTTATCAAAAGGCAAAAGCACCATAAATTTAGTTTAAAGTTGCACACTATTTGCACACTATAGTATGTACCTGTACTCTTAGCAACTTGGGAGGCTGAGGCAGGAGGATCAAAAATTAGGAGGGACAGCCTAGGCTGCATAATGAAATCCTATCTCAAAAAAAACAAAGAAAAGAATTTTTATAGACAGAAAAGTAGTAACAGAACAGCAAGTGGATTAGTGATTTCGAAGTGACTTTTAAACTTTTATTGATTTTTTGTGGATTTCACATCATGCATCCCAAACCCATTTAATTCATTCCATCAAATCTACCCTCTGCCCTTGTAGCCTCCTCCCCAAACAAAACAAAATTTAAAAGAAAAACCAGCCGGACGTTGGTGGCGCAGGCCTTTAATCCTAGCACTTGGGAGGCAGAAGCAGGCAGATCTCTGTGAGTTCGAGGCCAGCTTGGTCTACAGAGCGAGTTCCAGGACAGCCTCCAAAACTCTGTGTGTGTGTGTGTGTGTGTGTGTGTGTGTGTGAGAGAGAGAGAGAGAGAGAGAGAGAGAGAGAGAGAGAGAGAGAGAGAGAGAGAGAGAGGGAGGGAGGGAGGGAGGGAGGGAGGGAGGGAGGGAGGGAGGGAGGGAGAGAGGGAGGGAGAGAGGGAGGGAGAGAGGGAGAGGGAGGGAGAGGAAGAAAGAGAGAAAAGAAGAAAGGATTCTTGGGCTGACCTGATACTATAGGCTGGCCTACGACTCACAGAGATCTGCCTGCCTCTGCCTCTCTAATGCTGGGATTAAAGTTGTATGCCACTAAGCCTTTTTTTTTAAGTTGAGACAAAGGGGGCTTCCTTGTCATGCTGTGTTGAGCTACCCTTTAGAGAATGACATTCTTGTAGTAGTAGATTCTCATTAGCCACCAAACTACAAATAACACACGAAGACTTCTTATTAATTAGGAAAACTGCTCAGCCTTAGCTTAGGCTTGTCCCACTAGCTCTTACAACTTAAGTTAACCCATTTATACTAATGTACGTTCTATTACAAGTCTTGTTTCCCTCACCTCTCTCTTGTACTGCCTAGGCTGCTTCCTTCACATATGACTGGTGACTCCGCCTTCTTCTTTCTAGAGTTCTCTCTCTGCTTACAAGTCCCTGCCTATGCCTCCTGCCTAGCTATTTACTGTTCAGCTTTTTATTACATCAATTATAGCAATACATTTCACACAGTGAACTAATATCCCACAACATTTCCCTCTTTCTGTCTAAATAAAAAGGAAAGGCTTTAACTCTAATACAGTACAGTTATATACAATAAGAATAATTATCAAGTAAGAATTAGTATTCACAATGTCCAATCCATTTGTATTTATCAAATTTGTAGAAATTACTCTATTATCTATCTTACCTTGATGAGTCTAAAGTTTTATACCTAAGCCATTTTCTATCATAAGTTTTATTACCACCCTAATAATATATTTTTTGACCTAAAAACATCTTGGATAAATAATTTAAGCGTTTATGTTTTTTAACCTTTAAATTTTATATATTTTATGTAAGGTTTTTTTCTGAATTTGGTAGCAAAGAAAACTGTGTAATTATCTAGTCTTCAGTCTCTACCAGAGACCCAAGAAGGATAAAATATTACTTGAGTAAGCAGGACGTCAGAGCTAGCAACTTCTAAAACTTTAGAAATGACAATGACTGCTGACTTCCTGAACAGTCACCCAGGTTCCTCTACAATATTGAAGCATCCATATTTGGCCTACAAGCCTAGAATATCTGATAGACTTTTTGTGAAGCAGGAAATTTTTGAAGGATTGCCCTACTTTGTCTTGGTAAAGTTCGGCACTCACCCTCTTTTGTGTCCTGCTTATCCAAATTTGAACACCATACTGTCATCAGTCAAGGCAAGAAAAATTTCTTGTGCAGTGACTAACTTTGCCATTACAATAAAAACAAACTCTATATTGAGGTTCTTTGATGCCCATTATACATTCTTGAAGTAAATCGGTGCTGCCTTAGGTTAGAGGAGGAGAGGAGGAAGAGGGAACTGGGATTGACGTGTAAAAGAAGCTTGTTTCTAATTTAAATTTAAAAATAGAAAAGAAAAGCCTTAGGTTTTTAAAACATCTGAAATACCATATTCTGTAGGTCTCTGAAGTGTTTGAAGACCATCTGGCTGTCTAAAATATATCTCTGTTTGACCTTGAAAATACACATAACATGGCCATAAATTTGGTTGTTAGATAACTAATTACTAACCTGTCTTTCTTTATTATTCTAATAGCTTTCAAGAACTAAAACTTTATATTGCAGTTTTAAATGAGCTGTATAGGTACAACACCTTAAACAAGAGTAGAAACATGTATACAATATAACAAGATAGCCTTAAATTTGTATCAGTATACGAAAATATCTTAAAAGTGTAGAGACATATATATGTTCTAACAAAAATAACAAATTTATCAATATACAAAAATCCATACCAATGTAAAATGTTTGAGACTAGTAGTTGTTTTTGGTTTAAAAGTAAATTCAATAATCTACCCTTTATCTTATCATTATTATATCCCCCTTTTCCTTTTCAGAATGAGATCCATGATTTTAATCTCCTTTGCTTAGTTTCCTCCCTTACTGACCAGTAACAACTTGCAACCAACCCACCTAAATACTGACAAACATCCATAATTCAC